TTTTACCCACAAACGGACTTGAAGTTTTTAAGCTAATTTTTTTTAAACCACTTTTGTCCAAAAAAGCATATTTTTGACCCAAAATCAAAAACGCATTCTGGATATTTAAAATAAAAACAAGTTTTACAAAGTTTTAATAATAAGCTTTCAGAAAATATATGACATGTTGGATATATAATACCATCTTCATTGTCTAATTACTCAATTAAAAAGCAAGCCAAATAAACTGCATCTCTACCTTAAGTCAATTTTTTCTCCCTCCCACTGATTAAATTAAATTTTGCCTGCCCACACCTTTTTTCACGAACAGCTTCGTTGACTGAACCTGATGATGCGCTTTCGTCTTCCAGCTGCGCGAACGTAGATTGACATTCGAGGCGTTCGCTCATCATCGACCGTCGTTACACCCACATAAATGGCTTAAATTCGAAAACAAGTTGTTATATACTTAGCCATATTAGTTCGTTGTACCCCTTCTCTGCTTAATATTGGTGGCAGTGTCGTATTTATTTTCTATGTCAGTAGCTACTCTGATCACGGTCAGTAAAGTGACTGTGCTCCTAGTTAACAATTCGTTTTTCAGTAAAACATTTTACAATGGCCAGGAAATTGGCTTATGGCGTTTAGACCAAGTTTCATCGTAAGACGACAGTCCAAAATGTAGCCTGTCGCTATATATGTAAACTGGGAACGAATGAAGTACCCGTGATCATTTACTGACGAAAACAACTTATATAGCATAATACATTTATTCAGAACAATTGAGCATTCAATAAATGTTTCCTCTAGTATGCAATGGTTAAATCATGCAGGCAAAGTCATTTAACGGTCATTCGTTTGGAATCACGGAAAACCTCCAACAGAGGCGGCGACACGAAATTATGCATAACATAACACAAAAGGTTTCAGCTTGATTTGTGGGAGAGCGGGCGAGCAACCCCCCCCCTCAACATGTTCCCTGGGCGAACTAATGACGGTCACGTTAATTGGTGAATAAACGAGAGCAAATAAATATTTATGAACAATAAATAAGTGTTATGTTGCTGTTACCCGAGGAAATCATTAATCTAAGAATTCAACCATATACAACACAATTCATCATTTTTCAGTCCGTACATTCAATTGCATTGTGTAATGTGACGTCATTAAATGTGGCTTCCAATAGGGAATACTAACAAATATGAACACAAATGATCTCGTGTCCAACAACCCCACAAATCGTTCATTGATATAAATTGGTGCAACTTCACTATGTATTAGAATTACAAATTTATTATATACAAAGTTTAAAATAACATGGGCATGGGCCATGATTAAAACCATTGAATTTGCAAATCTTTATCACAAAAAAATTTACGGCGACCACCGTACTATATTACGTAAGTTTAGATCCGAAAACAAAACATTGATCGTCTTGATACGCAACCGTAAAATGTGAATTTATTTTAAAGGAATGTTGTGATGTTTACTTTTTTATTTTAAAATCTCAAAACAAAACAAAAATCTAGATCAAAACACATTTCCCAATAGATCCTTTGTGTGCTGTAAAATTCTTAGTGTAAAAAACCACGGTTCTTTTCCGTATTCTACAATAGCGTATACTATTATTATAAAAATCAGGAGAAGAAAACATATATACATTTCACAAATAGCATCTTAAAATTACGTAACAAAAGTTCTGCATTTACGGACAAATCTAGTTGTTCTTCCAGCAAACTAGCCTGGTGATAACGGACCATATATATACAATCATCGGTATTATATTTGTCAATCTCGAAATATTTGAAACGTGATATTACCGTGGAAACCGTGTCATATGTAACCAAGCGTTCTCTACGGCAGAATTTGTAGTTTCATAATTTTCTCGGAAACTAGACTAGTCACGTCATTTTTCTTGTGGGTTGACGCCCACTTGATTGAATAACGTTTCTAGAATCTGAATGTGATTTGAAATTTCACTTTTTCCTTTTTCAAAAGTGACGCATGAAAACCAAGAGAAACACATTTGTTGTATTATTTGGATATTGTAGATTAGATCTTGTACCTTGACTAGGGCTGAGCAGCTTTAAGTTTCAGACAGTCCCTTTGAGGGACTATGACGTGTACTAAAGGTGAATCATGCTGTTGTTTACGCATTTGCTCCCATGACTGTAATGCCAAATGGGGCATATTTGGTCAAAGTATTAGAGCTCTAATTATATGTAATTGGATTGCACATGTTAATCGACTTTGCCTGTCAAATTTGCGATGGTAAAAATTGCTGGTTGGAAACATTTGACAGTACAATCATGCAATCACGACAAAAATCATCAAAATCTACCTGTAGTTAGTTTACCGTGACGTACCATAGCCAAAAGTTTGCTGTGGCAATACACGTTAATAAATCACACTACACAGTAAAATACTCGTCGGGCTTGGCAACATGCGGTTTCCACTGTTTTCGGAAAACCTTTGACATCCTCTCGCAAAGATCGTCGACATCTGACGCCCTCCTCTGTTCCATCCGGCGAATTCGTTTGTTTCTCTCTTGTTGTTCCAGTACGTACTCTCCCTCTGCATTCTGGGTAATCAAAGTTTCGATTTCTGATGCGTCCTCTTCGCTTATTGTGGATATTTTACTGTCCATGACGTCTAGGTGTCGTAACCTTTGACCTGCAATCTCGCCAATGGTCACGACCGTGTCGTAGTGAATGTGGCCGTAATGGACAAGGCACGTGAGATTGGTGCATTTGTTGACCATCCGAATGAGATCCTCATCGATTCCGAAACTATCGGATATATCTCTATAACTCTCTAAGCTTTCTGGGTAATATGACGTCAGTGATTCGATTATTATTGGAATAGAGCGTGAAAATCTCATGAAAATGATCGCTTGTAGCGGCATGTAAGGCTGAAATATCGCCAGTACGTCTTGCTGCCTTATAATATTAGCTAATGTCATGACGACCTTCAAGTGGGGGTTATTCTGTCGCACTGCTTTCCAAGTGGCATTTTTGATGGGACTTGTTTCGAACTCCCCGGGTCCCTTCTGGTAAGCTACGAGGATGTTCAGTCTTTCGAGTTTCCTACTTCGCGGTTTTGCGAATTCTGCCAGTACAGCATCCGTCAATATGCATAACTGTACGGAGAACGTCGTGAGCCACTTGAATTTATTTAAACAAACAGTGACTTCACTTTCCTCCGGCATCTCTAAAATCTTAACAGCCCATTCGTCGTTGCCATGGGGAAGGTCCCAATAAATGTTGAGATCTTCAATATCAATGATTCTGTCGTTCATGGCAACGGTTGTCAGGATGGTGTTACCGTTTGGGTCTTTATGAGGCCAGGACTTCATGTGAAATTTTCGCAGTTTCCTCATTTGTAGTACGATTGCATGAATGGGAATCAGCCCTCGGAGTGTGGTGATAGGGCGCAGAATAAACTTAACAACCTTGATAATTTGATGCGCCCCGTACACCCCGATGGTTAAAGAGTCCAGCTCTCTACATTGCCTATATATTACGCCCAGACATGCCGAATCCATTGCGCAGAATTCAGTTCGGAGATAGATCGCCGATACGGTTAAATCACGCATGTACGATCCGTAACGATCTAACATCGTTTTCTGGTAATCCAACGAGTTTGAGGAAAACAGAATATTTGCTTCTTCTTCGTCTTCTGCTGCACGGACAACAATTTCAGCCTCGTCCCAAATGACGGGATGGTTGAAAACCTCCGCCCATTTCTGACATACGCGAGCCGCCCGTGCCTTATCGGTCAAGTTCAGTTTGGAGAAGATCTTCGTCACGATCGTATCAGGCAATGTCGTAAAATCTGGATAATCTGACTCCGACTCTGCCATAATATCGATAATTGAGCTCCAAACTGCCTGGATATAATGCAATACGAGAATCAGTCCGAAAGAATTCCACACGCAGGTCTCCAGTACCCAAAGTGTACCGTTCCCCTCGGCATATTGACCTTTGAGAATTTAGTGGCTTACTTCCGTGTGTGCGTTCGTTATGTCGTTTCTACAATTATGGGCATCCTGTATACTTGTCACATGGGGATAAGAAGTTTATGGTTGGGTTTATAGGGTTATATAACTCCAGTACACTATAGAAAATAACTTACTTGTCAACCACAAATAACCCAAACACAAACTAAATTTATTATCACACCAACAAACGAAAACTGAGTGTGTATGCCAACAATTTACGTTAATAAATAAATAAATCGCGCAGAATAAATAAATCAATCATAAATAAATAAATAAATAAATAAATAAATAAATAAATAAATAAATAAATAAATAAATAAATAAATAAATAAATAAATAAATAAACAAAAATATATGTATATAGGTCAGTGTGCGAATGACAATATTAATAGTACAAAATATTATTCCAATGCTGGAACAAGGCAGACTTCCTACGGACATCAGAGTTACATAAGCTCACCAACAGACTGTTATCCGAGGTGTGTATAGGCTCTCTAATACAAGATTTCTAATAATTTCATAAAAAGACTTGACATGATTGTATGCAAACATATGATTTACACTAGAATCACGTGGGTGATGAAAAAAGCGGCGAAACAAGATATAATAAAATACACGCAAAGCATTAAGGTTCGACTTCCGAAAGAAGCACCATATAATTATATACAATAACTTGATTTATTGCTGGGTATGGCGGTGCAGTCGACCCCTCAACGATGTGACTATAATTATACCTCCATTATTATATTGTTCGAGAATTTTTAGAAATATACAACTAAATGCATAACGTCGATTACGTGATGAACCATTTAAAACCCATTCTGCGCGATTATATGAGGGAAGATACGTACTTATGTAACTGTTTTTTTTATGAGAGATATTGTTTTAATAATACTTCCATATTGCTGTGAAATACACATACAAAATACATAAAAAGTTGATATACATCATAAACGAATTCAATATTTTTGAGCCTTATAATTATACGTGGGATTCCGGGCCAATCAGATTGGTATAAAACCTTAACGCGTTGACCAATCACAATGCTCCAGTACTGAGATGCATATATAATATCTTTGTGTTTTTTGTGTGCATGATAGTAATGAGTAATGTCCGTTACCAAATGAATTCTCGGGCATAGCCAAATAAAGCGCATTTTACTCCAGATTTAAAGAAAGCGAGAGAGTCTCTTCTGGTAAATTTTTATAGTTTATTATTTCCATGAAAGCTGTTCACGACTTCATGATATTCACTGTAGTCAAGTGTTAGTAAAATGAATAGGCAACTGTTCAATTGTCCATTGTCAATTCGATATTTTTTTTTTATTATCAACTGTGGCAGCTATGGTTCAAAAAGTCCGATTTCGATATTTTTGAACACCGCGACTGAGGCTGAGACTTCAAACGTAAATAATCCCAAGACTTCTATCATTTGTTTGGGCGGGGAGGGGGGGGGGTCTGTGAGTTCTGTTGAAATGGAAATTCGGAAGTTAGTATGCGTAATGTATAGTAGCACTTATAAGTGTGGGACGACATCGTAACGGCGCCATTCGAGATCTCCACTTGGGTATGCAACTTTCAAATGCGTTTTCAATTAAACCACGGTTACTAGTTTTAGTAGTTTTAATCTGAATATATATATATTTTTATTTCAGTGTTCATATTCCTACTAAATCCTGACAATGCTGTATAAAATTGTTACGAAAAAAACAATACAGAAAACCTCAATCGATGGAAACGTCTTCGAACGAATAAGTAATTTTATGCAAATTATGATCACCACAACGTCGGTAGTATGCTAATTCCCTTTGTTTTAAATGTAAACCGAGACGCGCACCCTAACAAAAGAAGTGAGAGAGTTTCCTAATCGTTCTTATAGTAACCGTGATCACGCTAGTTTGTTTTGATTCTGAATGACCTCCACAAAACTAACTGCGCAAGCGCAAATCTGCATAACGCTCTGCATGCTGGGATTTTTCTGACCCGTATGATTATTCAACAACTTTCCGCAAACCATCGCTGCTTATCGTAGGTGTGAATAATCTGTTTACCCGTACGCGGATAGAGACAAAAGATGGTCTGTCGTTGCCAGACCGGTGATAGAGGGACTGTGCCGTGATCATGGACGTACTAGAGACGTACTAGTATGTCCATGCCGTGATTACACTTTGTAATAGAAGTTAGATTCTTCTTTCCCATCAAACTTGAGCTTGGACATCCTTTTTAAATTAGATTTGTTACGATTCATTAATAGGGATAATTGGGAAGTGATTCGATATGATCATTCATTGATTTTAAATACATATGTGTATATTTTAAATCAAACAAACACCTTATGTTGACAATGTGTTATTTTAACCTTAAAACCTTAAAATTGCAAAAAAAATAGATAATAAATTATAAAATTAAAATATATGAACAAAATAATAATTTGAAAAATAAAATTAAAAGAATAAACTGGGAAAATGTTATCCCTGGCCACATTGCGTGAACATTTTGCATTCTGCAGTCACGCTTGTTCACTTGTGTAGATTTCTTGGGGTGTTTAAACTGGAGTACCCGTCCTGTTTATTTTTATATTACATCATGGACGTTAAAATATATCTATTTCTTACTTCCGTGATTACATCTTGACTGAAAATAATACTTGCAAGCGTCAGCTGACGGCGGCGGGAAATCCCACCACACATGCGCAATCCACACAAGCTATGAGTTTATGTGCGCATGCGTGCTGACTACTTAGGTGCTCAGTGATAAATTCATATGATATCTCACGAACAACTATAAATTAGAACATACTGAAAAACAGACATCACGATATTCAGTATCATATGATTCATATATTTTTAAATCAATACTATTTAAAAATAATAGCATTCAGAATAAGAGTGCACTTTCCATGGTGTCCTTTGTGTTGCATATTTGTTGTAATCTTAGGGGGCTTGATAATGTAGTGTAGCCGGACCGATCGTGGTAAATCTGGTAATACTGACATACTATTATTACGTTTAGAACCGGATTTTACCTGATGTAGTACTGCTGAATGTGTTGTATATAAGCGTGTTGTTAATTACATGTCACCAGACTACTGCTGGTCAGTATTTTCGCACACAGTACTGTGCACGTTTTACAGGTATGTGTATTGCTCACCAACGCCATTTGCATCTGTGCTGTCCTTGGATATGGTCTGACATCAACCAATTGCATCCCAGTGGTGGGGTGTTTCTTTCGCTTAGCAATAACGATATATTCACATTGAATGATTATGTTATTAAAAAGATTAGTTCATCTGCCAAAAGTATAATGCATCGTAAGTTTGGACTACTGTAACAGGTACGACTTTCCTGTACCATATGATCCATATTTCAAGCGAATGACAACGAAATTATCGACCCAAAAACATCGTGCCATCATATATGTCAGTCGTTCTATGAACCATGGAGCTAAAATTAGTTCCATGTATGAACACACTTAACTAGATTCAGCCTGCAGAATGGAAACAAGTTAAAAAAAGCACATTTTATTTGTTTTCAATTTAAAGTTGCATTATGACATTATTCATAATAATGTGAAATATTGGATGACTGAATTTGAACGAATTACTACGAACCGCAAGATGTTATCCAAGGACAGATATTCCTTCTATATATTATTTTAAATACAAGAATAAAAAATGACATGACAAATATTTCAGTTTTGTCCCTATTGATAAATATGGGCAAATCACTAGAAATATTTGAGAATTCATTCCGATTTATCGCCACAGTTACAAATTACATCAAGTTCCAGTACATTATACAAGGACATAAATTCTATCCATATAGTATTTTGAATTCAAAAATGTTTTTGTTGTGTTTAGGCAAAGACCTTGGGGTTTGTGGTGTATATTGATCTGCCGATCTGGTCAAGAGGTCAAACAGAATCCAGTAAACTTGTAGATTATTAGGCTGCAGATCTTAGTTGGCTTCGTTATTAATGCAGATTTCACGAATTATTGTATTCTCAAACTTTATTACAGTATTAGACGCATAATAATGTGTTGTATGACTACTTTTTTTTCCAGATAAAAAACAATTACTGTATATAGCTCAAGATGTTTGGAGGACAGAATAAGACCCCATTTGGAGGGGCATCTTTTGGTACACAACAAGGTAAATCTTTTTAACATGAATTTGTGTTGCTCACATTATCTATATTTTTCTGAGTTGCACACAGGGGCATTTACAATTTGCATTCTAATCTAATTGCAGATACTTTTAGTCCAACATCCAAATTTTTATGTATGGAGGAGTCATATTTGATGGTCTGAATATGTAGGAATTGGAAATATTTGATATTTCTCTCTTGTTCTTGAATTCAGAACAGGGGTGAATCTTTGTAAATATACACTGACCTGGACATGCCATTAGCAAATGAAATTTGAACTTTCAATCAAATGGAAAGCTGGAATGATTTTTATCATTTAAATGCACTGAAAATCATTGAAATTTCAACAAACTGTAAATGCATTAATTATTAGCTGGTATTTAATTTTGTTATTTTCATTGATAATTGAAATTCGCTAAAATAAATCCATGTGAACTTTTAGAATACCAATAGGACTCGGAGTGAAATTAAATGGTTTTACAGTAAATATTTTCTGCAGTTAATGCAAACTGAAAGTTTAAATTATTTCGCAGTGCAGCTATAGGAATGATATTAGAATGAAAATTCAATACATGTATTGAACAGTAACATTAAATTAATTAATTAATTTGTTTCTTTTTGTAGCTGGTTTTGGCGCAGCAGCAACAACACCATTTGGACAATGTAAGAGTTTGTATAATTGCTATATAATAATACATTTTACATATCATTTTATACAGTACAGTACAGTACATGTAAAACTTAATTTCCTAGCTGGCTTTCAGTTTCCTTAACCTTTTCATAGAAACTTATAATTTTCAAAATGCGTATCATTGTCATCAATAATTTTAACTTCTGATTTGTGGTATTTTCCTGTGTTATTAATAAGAAACACAATTAGGCAGATTACTTTAGGTGGGTTAGGCAGATTACTTTAGGTGGGTTAGGCAGATTACTTCAGGCAGGTTAGGCAGATTACTTTAGGCAGGTGAGGCAGAATACTTCAGGCAGGTTAGGCAGAATACTTCAGGCAGGTTAGGCAGAATACTTCTGGCAGGTTAGGCAGAATACTTCAGGCAGGTTAGGCAGATTACTTTGCATAGTTTTACATATGTAGCAGTTTTGAAAGCAAGCCAGCCAGCTTTAAGCTAGCTAAATTAACGTTAAGATATGTTCTGATCATGCTATATGTATATAATAATTAATATTGACTGTTATGTATTTCACATTATTTGTATGTATTTTAAATTACTGTAAAACATGTTGAAAAAGCAACATGCATTTTTAGCGAATTGTGGTAAAATGACGTAATAGCAAAATGTTGATTTAGCGAATCGCTCTTGTCATTGTGGATTTCATGTGTTCACAATACTTGTCTGTCGCGCGCAAAAACAAATGCACAGTTATCATCTCTATAAAAACAAAGAAAACTGTCAAGTGTAATTTGATTCTGTTCGCAATGATAAAAAACTGATTCAACAGGGATTTGAAAAAGCGGGTATCGTTGCTGCGTTACATCCAGAATATTGACATTTTATATTGGGACTCAAAAATTAATAAGTACTACTAATTTCCTTATTAATATATCAGTATCACTTTATTTATTTATTTTCATTGAAATAATGACCACGTTTATTATTTTGTGTCAATTTACTTTTCAATAAAGTGTATCTATCATGTCAGTACGTTTTTTTGTGTTGCTTACAAAGTGTGTGTGGAGAAAAAGGACGTTGTTTGGCGACCATTTTGAATTTATAATAAAGTCATTAGCGACATCTTGAATTAGCGAATCAGTTCTCTCGCTAAATTTGATAAAAAGACATGCTCGCGAAAAAGACATGTTTTACAGTATTTACTGAAACCCTGATTTTTGTTTTCTTTCAACAGCAGCTGGAAGTGGCGTAGGCAGTTTATTTGGTAACAAGGCAGCAACACCAGTAGGCTTTGGCACACCCAATGCATTTGGAGCACAGACCCCTGGTAGTAGCTTATTTGGAACATCAACTGCTGCCACATCGACTGTCAACACAGGAGGCCTGTTTAGTAATCAAGGTAGTGCCTTTGGAACAAAACCAACAACTAGCACAAGTAAGGACTAGATAAACAGGGTTGCATCAGAGATGAATTCGTGCACCCAAATTGTATACTTCGTGATCTTTGTACAAATTTTAGGATTCCTTTTACCGCA